CACATTTTACAAGCCACTCCTTCATCTTTACCACCATTATACACATAAGTCCTCATATTTCCACCTTATTGCATACACATCCTTAAGGAATTAAATAATAATAGCAATAATAAAAATTCTGGGTATTACAATAATTACACAAAATCTTAGTAATTTATTTCTTCACTTTCAATGGTTGAGATTTATTCACATTTATTAAAGATAATTATCTTTTTCACTTAAAAAGTTATGACAATTTCAACCACTGAAAGCGAAAAAATGAATGGTCGAAATTTTGTATAAGTATGGTGGTAAGACTATTGTGTAAGTGAATCCTTTCTCATATATACACTGACATGCATGATCTATCGTAATAGAATACTACATTCAACGATTAGTTTTTTGAAAATATACATTGAAGAGTGGTGCTTCTAAAGTTGGAAATCTAATTTTTTCTAGGAGTCAGGACTAATATGTATAATTTTTATATATATAGAGAGAGAGAGAGAGTAGGGATTCACTTATATACAAGTCTTATACATCACACTTACATAAAATCTCAATCATTTATTTCTCTACTTTTAATAGTTGAGATTTGTCACAACTTTTTAAGAGAAAAAGATAATTATCTTTAATAAATTTGAATAAATCCCAACATTTGAAAGTGGAGAGATGAATTATTGAAATTTTGTGTAAATGTGGTATATAAGACTTGTAAGTAAATCCTAGATCCTTATATATATATAGTTAGGGTTTATTTGCATTATCTCTAAAAAATTAAGTGGAAAATCATCTTAAAACTATGTTGTTTCAATAAATCACCATAAGAAAAACCAAAGAACGGTCCTCATGCTTTAAAAATGAGGTGTTTTTGTTTTTTTCAATGGAAGTTCATTAAAACGATATGGTTTTGAAGTGGTTTTCCTCCAAATTTTAATGAAGTGGACACTTTTCCATATATATATATATATATGGAAAATCATTGGTACACATTTGTTCAACATACTTTCTAACACTTGTCCCGCTTTAGTTATTAAAATTTATGTAAGTATAGTTGATTTAGTTGGTTCTTACATATTGTATGCATGGTTGCATATTTAAGCTTCTCTACCTTTAATTTCAGACTTAAAAATAGTGATTTTTTAATGAGTGTGTTTTGTAATATGTTAAACCAAAGTTTGTACCAATCAATATATATAGAGAGAGAGAGAAAGAGAGAGATCCACAAACACAAAAGTCTTATACACCCCATTTATACAAAATCTTGACAATTTATCATGACTTTTTAGATGAAAAAATAATTATTCTTAATAAATGTGAATAAATATCAACTATTAAAAGTGGAGAGATGAATGGTTAAAATTTTGTGTTAGTATGGTGTGAAAGATTTATATGTAAGTCGTTCTCTACTCTATATATATAGGGAAAAACATTTATCAATCATACTTTGAAAAATTAAGGAGAAAAATGTCTCACAACTATATTGATTTTATTAATTCTCATTGAAAAAGACTAAATAGCATAATTTTTAAAACATGAATGTGACTATTTTAGTGTTTTCTTGTGATATTTTATTGACATGACATAATTTTATAACTTTTTTACAAGTCTAGCTGATACAAACTAATCTCATATGCTTACATATGTACATATATATAGTAAGGATACAATTATACATAAATCTTACATACATATTTACACAAAATCTTAACCATTTATCTCTCCATTTTCAATGATTGAAATTTATTCATATTTATTAAAGATAATTATCTTTTTCATGTTAAAAGTTATGATTTGTGAAGAGGGATCCATTTACATACAAGTCTTACACACCACACATAAAATCTCAACTATTTATTTCTTTATTTTCAATGATTAAGATTTGTTATGACATTTTAGGTAAAAAAGATCATTTTTTTTAATAAATATGAATAAATCTCAACCATTGAAAGTGAAGAAATAAATAACTAAGATTCTGTATATATGTAATGTATAAACCTTATGCGTAAGTGGATTTCTACTATATATATAGGAAAAGTGTGTATTAATTTCGACTCCCATAAAAGAAACTGGAGTCTCAACTTCAAAAATATCATTTTTCAATGAATATTTTCAAAAATCACTAGATTTAATGCTCTATTGATTTCGATCAAGCATTTCAATTTAAAAAGTTGATCTAATATCTATAATCATTTGATAAAAAAAACTTGTATTTTCTAGTATATTTATCAATAGTAAATTTTCTATAATCAATAAACTAATAATATATATTCTCAATTAGACATGCATGATTTATATGAATAGAAAACTAAAGCAAATTGAAAATATTTATTAAAGGATAGTGTTTTTGAAGTTGGGACTTCAATTTTTTTAAGAAGTTGGAATTGATATGCATTATCTAAAAATGTTTTATAAGTCGTCCTCCTAAATTTGTTTTAAAAGACTTATCTAAAAACTTTTCTTTTAATTGACATTTTCAAAAAAAAGAAAAAGAAAAAGAAAAAGGACTATTGGATTGAAAATTCTATTCTTATAAGTCATGTCTGCTAATTTATGAATTATTTTAGTAAGACTAGCCACTTCGTTGATTTTTGAAAATTTAACACTGTTAATTTTTTTTATATCTAAATCAAAAATTTATTTAAATGAGTACAAAGGGTACTCACCCTTACAAGAAAAATGGGAAACACTATTAAATATATATCTATAAATAAAGTTTTTTTTATCAAAGGATTATAAGTGTTAAATTAGTATTAAAATTAACATGCATGATTTAGATAAATAAAACTTTAAATCCAATGATTGATTTTTTAAAATATTAATTAAAAGATGTACTTTTAGATAGGTTCTCCAAAAACATTTTGGGAGAACAACTTGCCTACACCATCCAGACACAAACACACGCGCACACACATACACACACATATTTATATATTCTTGCACATAAGGTATTTTTATATTTTTTTTCTAGTAAGCTTAAATTTTGCCTACTATTGAAGACTCTTGATAAAAAAGGGTGTAGATAGAGATACAAACTTGGTCCTCTTTTCTTTTTAAGGGTGTTAAATTTTTGGGTCTCTAGTTCAAGTGGTAAATTTTTACTTTTTCCTATTTAAGTGATAAATGTTAACTTTCTTTTTTGAATTATATATTTGTACATAAATGTAAAATGATCAAACATTTACACTAACTAGAAGTTAGTTGATTCTACAAGATTTTATTTTTACCTAATTAGCTTGGTCATTTGGGTGTAATAATAATTTTAAATAGTTGAAAATTCACGTGAACAATGTTAAAAGAACTTGACGATTCTTTTATCAAGTTTGTTTGTGTTGTAATCCCTTGAGAATATAAATATCAAGCCCATTACAAATAAAATTAGAAGAGCATCTCCTTTGTTGTTATATTAGATTCAAGGAGCCATATGTTAATTAAAAACACCATCATTTAAAATATTTTGATATATTATAACATTAATACATATTTAAATATAATGCTGACATTTTAGTCCCTTAGTCAATATATAATGGTGCATTTTGAGAGTACATTTATTAAATTATACAATCAAGAAAATTTGACTTGCTAATGCTAAGGAATTCACACCACATAGAAGGTTATAAATTTATATTGGTTTTGAATTAACATACATTACTAGATATCTTGAATGATTGATTGTTGATTTTCAATATAAAGATATTGTATTCCTAGCAAAAAGGGAAGATGAATAAATATTGGAAAAAGCAAGAGATAACTTGACATTCATTGTCCAAAATTCTCTAACAAGTTGCTATGGGTCAAAAGTTCAAAGTTTTGAATTGCTAGATGCATTCATTGAGTTTATCTGAGTGGAAGAAGTTTGATTCTCTTTAAATGAGGTTTCAAGTTTGAGTTTTGCGAATGAAGAAACAAACAATAGGAGAGCTTTCTCCTTTATGGAGTCTGACCCGACTTGACTCCGAATTAGTTAGAGCCCAATGTGGTTTTTGGATACTTGGGGGTTAGTACAAAGAAAAAAAATTATGCATCCAATGATGCAGTGAATGTAAGTAAATCACAGATTCAATCACATAGTTAAGGTTTAAAAACTCTTGTTTATCCTAATATTTTTATTTAAAAAGTTATTAAAACATTAGGAAACATGCACACTAGAAGCTTACTAGAAAAATTGAGTCTAAGGATAAAAATTCAAACATAAAGAGAAATCAAAAGTAGAATATTAGTATTATTAAAATCATAAATACTCATCCAAAGTTGTTAAGAAATAATTCCAAAAGAGGTTTATGTATCTAAAAATAATGAGAATGTTGAATTATTGGCAATGCTAAGATCTCCATAAAAATAGTTCCCCTAGTAATGGATAGAATTGAAATGAAGTTATTATTGGCAATTTTTTTGCATATGCAATGGTGAAGGATATATAGTAAATGAAATTGAGGATCTTAAACCAAAATCCATTGAAGAATGTTTGAAAAAAAGGATTGGCTAACATGAAAATAGACAATCCAAATATAATTAAAATTTTGAGAATAATGCCAAGTTTTTGATTCGGTAGTCCAAGCACATAACAATGTAAAACCTATATTACAAGTGGTATTTATGAGGATATATAATGAAAAAAGAGTGAAGCTTGTAGCACAAAGATTTATGCAGAATTTGAAATTGGTTATGAGAAGATATTATCTTAAAGTAGATTTTATTACTATAATATATATTTTTTAGAATTCTATGAAGGACTTTTAAATATATTTTATGGATGTTGCAACATATGAATACATGGTTGTTACAATTATATGAAGTCCCTATAAAACATAATAAGTTTGTAGCTTAATATGTTTGAATCATATGATGCTTAAAGTAGAACATACTTGAAAAATATAAGAAGCTTAAAAGCTTCAAATGCCTAAAACATAAAAACCAAAATCCAAAATTAAGAGAGATATTTTTAATACAATTAAAGGACTTTGTATCAAATGAAGCAATAAAGAAGAATGTGGTATATCCTTCCTAATGTCCTTGCAAAAAAAGTTTGGCATTCCTATATTAATCCATGTATTTTACTAAGAGATTAAAAGTGAAATTTATTAGTTACCAAATATATTAATGATTTAAAAATTAGTAGAACTCCTAAAGAGTTTAGATAAAGACAATAAAATGGTCTAAAGAGTGACTGTGAGAAGAAAAATATCAAAATAATTAAAATTTTGACTTGGCATCAAACACTTTAATTTCAAGTTTGATTTTTACCACCTATCAAACAATAAATTAAAGATTTTGTAGCACTTCAACATAGATAAAGCTCATGCTTTGAGCTCATCAATGGTTGTTTGACAAAGGATGGCTTTTTTAGGCTTTGAGAAAATAATTCTTGGTCCTAAAATACCATCTTTGACTATCATTGCTGCAGTAATATATTTTTTCATTAATTCTTGGCCCGGCTTGTTTCAATAGATATTAAAGCCACCATGTTACCTCTTGATTAGTGATGGAGCAAATATCAACAAGAATGTTGAATCTTGAAAAGGAGGTGTATGTGCCACCCTTAGGCAAATCTTACATCTAAAAAACATAGGATAGATGTTGTGTATATAGCTCAATATCAATTAACTTCTATTGATGCAATTTAAAACTACGAGACTTGATAGGCCGGAAAAGATAGTATCAATAGTAAGCAAACTCATTACAATGATGATATTATGATTTCTTCCATTCTAGTGCTATTCAATAAATATTGGAGAACACTGTGCTAGTTCTTACTCTGAATTCTTTGGTAGCTTGGAGACTTCATGAAAATAGTACAACAAAAAGGTAAGAAAAAAGACAAATACAAAGACTTAATGAACATTGGACTCCAACAAAATCATAGAGAAAAATCTGAGAAAAGAAACCTGCATGCGTATAAAAACAAGAGTTTTTCTAACAAGTAAAAGAATTGGGACTAAAATGTCAAGAAACTAAAAAGTTAACTTAAAAAGTAAAAGAGCGTTACACTACTAGAAAAAGAACCAATTTGGTCAGTAACACTTACTGAACAAGACAAGATAAAGACTGAAAATGAAGCACTTCGGTCAAGACCCTTGACCAAATTGTTGAACCGAATATCCTTTCCACGAAATAATATTTCGAAGGGAATTTCGTCTTGACCAAAATAATTGTTACTTCGGTTAATGTGCATGATTGAAAAAGGTCGAAAAAATCATTAAAAAAAACTATATTTGGTCAAAATATTTGACCAAAATACATAAATATTCTTTGAATTAGATACTTCGGTCAACTATAATGACTGAAATATTCATGAATTAGTGGTTTTCGATTATACTATCACAGTGAAGAGAAATGACCGAATTAGTGGATATGAGTATTTTTGGTAATTTAAATTGCAACTATTCGGTCAATCTTCTTGATCGAATTAAAATTCATGGTGAATTTCTCCATCCATATTCGGTCAATCTTCTTGATCGAAATGATATTGAATTTATTTTCTCTATAGTATGATTTCAGTTAAGATATATGACCGAAATAAATCTGAATCTGCGAAAAATTATTTGTTTTATTTCGGTCAAGTATATTGACCGAAATGAGTCTAAATTCACAAAAAATCATGCATTTTGTTTTGGTCAAGTAACTTGATTGAAATAAGAGTGCAGATTAACAAAAAAATTAATTTTAATTTAGATGATAATATTGTAAATAAAATTTGGTATTAGAAAATTAAATTTTAAAATCATCAATTATATACAATTCCTATTTTGATTTAATTTATTAAGCTTTTATAGTTTTAAATTAAAATTATGATTATATTTATAGAAATGAAAAAAAAAAAAGAAAAGAAGAAAAGAACCCAAAAATACTTATCATTTGCAACAAGAATCCAATATAAATATATAAATAAGTCAAATTGATATATATAAATACAAATAAGTTAAAACATATAATTAAATGAAAATATGCAAATAAATTAACTAAATATATAAAAATTTAAGGAAAAATATTGAATAATGTAATAAAATGTAATAAAATCACCTCTAAAATGTTGCCCCATCATGTCCACCAACTTAAGGAACCTGAAAATGATCAAAATTTAAATAATTAATACACAATTAAAATACAAAAAACATAAGATTATATAAAATAAAGAGAACTTAACTTGATAAAATAATTAAAAAATTGAAATTAAGAGAGATGGTAGTATTAATTTTGAAGAAAAATATATGAAGAATATAAGTGTAATACCCCAAAATTTCCTAGAGCATATAAGTTGAGTTAGGGACTAAATGATGAAGAAACATTATTAATGGACCTAACCTTCAGTTTTCCAAACTTTAAAGGGGTTAAAAGGTGTTTGGATAAGGCCGGCTGACTCATTCCTTTTTATCTTTTTCTTCTTTCCTTCTTTCTTCCCAGCCATTTTCACATCTGCTCTGTTTTTCTTCTCCTCTGCAACCAAACATGAACCTAGACATCTCCAGCGCCTCCACCTGAAAAATTGGTAAGAGAACTTGATGATTTTTGTTCTCTTCTTGCCCAAGAACAAGTCTAGGACTTAGAACTCCTCTCTCTTGCAGAAAAGCCACCGGATCTGCTGTCTTCTTCCCTTCCTCTGCCGCCAGCTGTTGCTGGGTATAAGCTCCGGTTTTTCTGGTAAAAATAAGCCAAGAAACTCCTCTTTCCAGCCTTAATTTATGTGGGTTCATCCTAATTTTTGTTCTGTCAATTGCTAGTAGCAACCCTGTGGAAGCCCCCAATTTTTCCCGCCAGCTCCAGCTTTGCTTGTTAAGGATTTTTGGTAAGTTAGCTTCTCTAATCTCCGAAAATTAGTGGATTAATGGCTGCTTTGTGAGTTAATTGGTTGTATGAAATGAGCTTGGGTTGTCCGAAAATTCTGTTGAAATAGGGATGAGTTTTGGCAATTTGAAAATGGGTTTTGGTTGATGATTTGTGTAGGAAATTAGTGGGTTTGGTTGTTGTGTGATGTCCAAGAGAAAAGGGGAGAATCCCGTGAATTGGCCATTTTCTGTCAAGGTCGGTTCTCCCAAATTCCTGTCCATTAGTTTGAGAAATTGTATATCTGTAATTGTGTAATTGTGTAATTGTGTAATTGTGTATACATAGATATTAATTGGGAACATTGTGATTAGGTCCTTGATTGTCCTGTGGCCTTAGCACTGGGATTAGGCCTTGTGTCCTGTGTAATTAAGGTGAGTAAATTATGGTAAAGCCCGTAAATTTTTGAAGCATATTTTAATTGTTTTTTGAGATGGTGGCGAGGTTTAAATGGATTTACTTGCATTTGAGCATGATTAAAAAGGGAATTTGAACTTTCATTATTTTCCTTCTTTTCTAGAATTGAGCATGCCCACATGAGATTCTTCGGTTTATTTTTTGAAAGTGCGAACGATCGTGAATCGTGGTTTCTGTAAATCTTGCTTGGTTTTGTCTCCGATATGGTCGTGTAATCGTGACCCCGCTAGTGGGGGAGGTTACAAACACTAGCACATGTCGACATGTTCGTGATAGGACCGGTTCGCTCGTGGCCCTACTAGTGGGGATTATACACTAGTACTCGTGTGCCTGCCAGTGGGAACTGGCCATGACTAATAGAGGAGACCACTACGTGATTTTATTTTGCATTAATGATTTGTTATTGAAACGCTCTGTTCTTGAAACGCTCTGTTCTTGAAACACTCTGTTCATGTTTCAACCGATTATTTGGCATGCTTTAAACTTTGATGTCGAGCCCCCATGTTTACTTACTGAGATATTTCTATCTCACGGTTTCCTTATCCACCATTTCAGGTAGTGAGACCCGACGCGTGGGAAGCCTGGGGGAGTGACGAGCTAGACGGCTAGGCACTTTTGGACTTAGGTTTTTGTAGCTAAGCCGTTAGTCACCCATGCTTGACATAGAAAATTTTGTGTACAGAATTTAGTGTTAGT